AAAAAAAAAAAAGAATAAAAGGTATTTACAAGGACTCAACATTAAAGACATAAAGAAGTTATGGCGAATTAGTCCGAATGAGGAGAGCGAGTTGAGCAGGTGTGTTTATGTCTTAGAAACCGTTAGCACTTGCAGTGTGGCCAATCAAAGAACAGATTGCAGAGTTCAAAGAAGCTTTTTCACTATTTGACAAGGATAGCAATGGAACTATAACAACAAAGGAACTGATTATCATAAAGAGGTCTCTTGGGCAGAATTCCACAGACACAGAGTTACAGAACATGATTAATGAAGAGGATGCTGATGGTAATGAGCACAATTGACTTCCCTGAATTCTGAAGGTGGTGGCAAGAAAAGTGAAAGACACTGACAGTGAAGAAGAAATTAGAGAAGCACTCCATGTGTTTGACAAAGATAACAAAGATTATATTAGTGCAGCAGAGCTTTGCCATGTGATGACAAACCTCGGAGAGAAATTAACAGATGAAGATGTTGATGAAATAAGCAGGGAAGCAGAGATCAGTGATGGTCAAGTAAACTGTGAAGAGTTTGTACAAATGATGATGGCAAAGTGAAGACATTGTACAGAATGTGTTAAATTTCGTGTACAAAATGTTTATTTGCCTTCGCTTTGTTTGTAACTTGTCTGTAAAAGGTTTTCCCCTGCTGTCCAATAAATATGCATAGGGATTGAATGAATTAGGACTTCATTCCTTTATGTTTTCTTCCCTTATTTTGCTGTCATTGTCCTCAAATCTTATTTTAGAAAACTGATAGTAACATGCTGCATATGGCTTACTCTGGATACATCTAAACTTAGATGGAGCTGGTCAAATGAAGGAACTTCTGGGTTATGCCTTTTTAAAAGTAGTTTTCTTTAGGAATTGTCAGCATATTGTTGTTGAAATGTGGAGTTGTTACTCTGCATGGACCACAGACAGTAAACAATATGTACTTAAAAGTTTTACAATTGCAAAATAGGTGCATTATCCAGGTACTCATAAACCTTTTTTTTAATACTGCTGGTCTTGCACCAGAAACATTTTCTTTTATTGTTTCTTTCTTTTTAAACTTTTTACAGCCACTGAAAGAAAATCTGCTTATGGCACAGTTTGCCTCAAATTCATTCCAAGTTTATACTTGTTTTTCAATAAAAAAATTTACAATTTATCCCAGAAAGAAAGAAAGAAAGAGGAAGGAAGGAAGGAAGGAAGGAAAGAAGGAAGGAAGGAAAAGAACCTATCACTAGCTGGGTATGGTGGCACATGCCTGCGATCCCAGCATTCTGGGAGGCTGAAGTAGGTTCAAGACCACTTAGGAAGGACTGTTGTGAATACCAACATCTACAAGTTTTTAAAAGGTTTCCAACTGTACAGTTCTCTTTGTAAACATAATTCCATTTTCCAGTCTTCTGAACTAGATGCAGTTGTTTTACCAAGGCAATGCACATTCAGTGCATATTTATCTATTATAGCACTTAACAAATTATGCTGTAATTTCTGATTTGCCTGTTGATATACCTCCTCTAAACTAAACTTCAAATACTGTGTGAATAGGAACTATGTCCATTTAGTTCATCTTTTGTCCCCAACCCGTCATACAGCAAGAAGCCAATAAATATATGGTGAATCAGTGAAAGTACCAGCACGCTGGCGAGTGATTATGAAGAACTCTGTAGCAATGCCACTTACCTGTGAGATCCAGAGTTCTATCCACAAAGACAACAGATGCCCTTCCTGCAGCAGTCTTTCTCCTGTTCTTGGCAGGGACATAATTGGCCAGATCTGCAGCGATGACCCGACTGAGGGCACCCACAGCAAAACACTCCTCCCGAACCCCCAAATGCTCACACAAAGAACTGAGGCCTGACACCAGGCACCTCATCTGCAGGATCAGCTCTGGGGTCAGGGCAGTGGAATCCACCTCACCCAAGCTTCCCAGCCTTCTCTTGTCCGGTCGGGCACTATTAAGGAGATGTATATCCTGGGATAGCAGTGGAAAAAGGGAAGCAAAGGCTGGAGTCAAGGCAAGGTAGGGAGCAATAGGAGCGAGCAACAATGGTACGTGCAGCACCTCTGCTGTGTAGTTCATGTTGCCCATCCACTCACACAGCTTCTCCTCCAGCTGCTCGAACACCGGTTGTTGTCCCTCCAGCTCAGCTGCGGCAGCCGCTGGCACGTGGTTAGCCGTAAGATGAACAGCGTGGCTCAAAGCAGTGACCACCACACAATATTGGAAGTGACTGCGGCTGATGATGTCTCGTAGTGTCTCCACAGTCCGGCCTTTCAGCAGGCAGCTCAATACAAACACCGCCTTGGGCTGTTCGGCATTGCCACCAACTGCATTGGGCTGAAACTCCCGTAGGTGACACACAGGACCCCCCACCGCCTCCATGAGACGCGTGGGCCCGCAGCCCCAGTGCAAGCTCTCCGCGCAGGCAGCATCTAGGTAGACCAAGGCCCGTTTCACTTTGGCCAGCACCTGCTCCCAGCCTTGCAGGGTAAAGGACAGCACGCCCGGGGTGCTCATGGTTCAGAATTTGCACACCCCGGGAACTCAACTCGGGTCCAGGAACTTCTATTTGAATTCACGGCTTCCGGAAATTGGGTTCCCTCAGACTTTGACAATCAACACAGTACACGTGGTCCCGTCTCTGACATACGTAAGAAGATGCGCGTGGTGATGACGTAAGGAGCACTGATTGGTTAGTGAGGAGGCGGGCTCGGGAAGTGGGCGGGTCTCTAAACCTCTAGGCTTCATCAAACGATCGAGGAGGCGCTGAACTGATTTATTTTCTCAGTCTCTCTGTACCCCCATTACATTTCCCTACTGCCTGAGAATTCTTGGGAATAATAAAACCTAATCTCAAGAGTGATATTTTCCTTGGATATGAACAAATCTCTGAAAGTATAGCCCCTTTCGCCATCTAAACTCCGAACAGCTAGAGAAAACAATAACAACAACGGACAGCTGTGTAATATTTTGTAGTTTATAGATTGCAATAATATATACTATTCACAAGAACTTCATAAACAAAAACCACACTGGCCTCATTTTAACTTTGTCCATCTTTTCCTACAGCATCTTGTTCCTAATCTTGATCTGGTTTAAAACGCCTAGAATCTAGTTCTTCCTCTCCATCCGTGCTTCCACTGCACCACAACAAATCACTCATCAAAACAATTGCAATGATCCTCTGTCACTTCCTGCTTTGCATCTCTTCCTGCTCCAATTCAATTTTCTTCGTAATAATTAAGCTACTTCTGTCATTTTCCTGCTTAAAAGTTTCACTTAGACCAGTTGCCTACAGGACATAACCAGACTCCTTAAAAGATACCAAAATCTTTCATGATTCTTCAATTTCTCTATTCCTAGCCTGAAACAAAATGTACCCACACACTGAAACCAACAGGTTGAGCAGAATGTTTCACGGGTTCTGTTTTTCAACCAATAATTTTTAAGCACTTAACTAAGTATAATCTTTGTGCCAAGCTCCAAATGTGCAGTGGGCAATACTATAAATTACCGGACCCACCAAGAATTTATTCCCCGTAAATTCATACTGACCCAAAATAATCTTTCCTATTATACCTTCTAAGTGAATGCTTTCCTAACTCATCACCTACACTAATCTGCCCTCCTTAAGCCCTGACACACAGCACTCAGTTGAAAAGTATGCCAAGTATTTGCCATATTATTAGGTAACTTTTGACATACTTGTTTTCCTTAACATATCTGTTCTACTAGACTGTGGACTAGAGGCCCAGGATTCTCAAAACCTAGAAGTTAGCAGGAGTTCAATAAATATTTGTTGAATTTTCAATTAGTATTCATGTAATAATACATTTAATAACTTTCAATGAACATGTATGATACTCCAGATACTGTGTTTGCATTCAGGATATAAAGAGAAGAAAGGTACAACCCTGCTTTCCAAAGAAATACAATGAAATAAAAACACCAATACTTGTAAAACAAATGCAAGAAAATGTCACAGAAGCAACAATTTTTTTAAAATAGGTAAGAGTTATAAAGGGAGAAAAATAAAATCTGACTGAGAAATGGGGAAGTGGTCAGAAGAAGTTTCACAAAGTATAGTACAGTGGCCTTCAAAGAAGATCAGGTGTTTGGCAGGTGCACAAGATGGGGAGGAGTATTCCTGGCAGTCCAGGAAAAGAGTGCACCCTGAATAAATACATGAAACTATAGAACGTGTTCTCTAGAACCACAAAGGGAGGGGACAGTTCTCAGATTTAATATGATCCAGGCATAGCCCCAAATGTAGACTGCTGAAATGGAGCAAATGATGAAGAGTATGGCCTAGTTAGACTCCAGAAGGTCCAAAAAATTATAAGATAAAGAAGTAGGTGTGAGTTGTTCATTATAGTACCTAATAGTAGAGAAAAGGAGACTGTAGATTCTATCTCCGTGTCATTTATGAATAAGGAGAAATAAAGAGGGAAGGGCAGAGTTGGTTAATATGGATGGTATCAGCTGGGGGAAAAGACAATTTTCACTACTCATCTTGTAGTGGCCCACGAGAGCCAGGAAAATGGCAATACTATCTCCAGGCTCCATGGTACAAGCTGAAAGATAATGGTTACTCTGCAATATAGAAAGATAAAAAGTGCTGTCCTTGGAGAAAGATTGGATTTCAGTTTAAGTGAACAAATAGACGCATCTTTCTGCTTTGTTTTTTCTTTCTTTTTTCTTTTCAGAGAATTGAAAGCAAGGTCTTACATACATTAAGCCTGTACTCTATCACTTAAGTACCACAGTCCCTTTCTGCTGAAATACCTAGACTGGGGCCGGGGATTTAGCTCAGTGGTTCCGCCGCCTGCCTCACAAGCGCAAGGTCCCGAGTTCCATACCCAATACCACACACACACACACACACACACACACACACACACACAAAATACCTAGACTTTTGGGAATGCACATAAAATGAAACAAAGGCAGTCATGCCTAAAAGAATTAAAAAGAAGTACAGAGATTGTCATAATTCAGACTCTTATAAGAAAAACACTGTATACTGAGTGGTTTACGCAACACAAACTTTATTTCTCACAGTTTTAACACCTGCTGTGTTAGTAGGCTTTCTGTGTCTGTGACAAAATACCTGATAAAATCAACTTAAAGGAGGAAAGATTTATTTTGGCTCACAATTTTAGAGGTTTCAGACCATGGTTAGCTGGCTCCAGTGCTTTAGGTCTGTGGCAGGCAGAAATATCAGGTTAGAAGTCGGGGGCAGGGATCTGCTCACCTCTTGGCAGCCAGAAAACAGAGGAAAGAGTCATAGAGGAAGTGGTCAAGGACTAGATCCTCAACATCACACCCCTATGATCCACTCCTTCAACTAAGCCCCACCTCCTTTTTCTATCACCTCCCAATAATGCTATCAAATTATGATCCCATCAATGATTGATCCACTAATGAAGTTAGAGTTCTTGTGACCCAATCACTTCAAAAGCCCCAAGGCATCAACACAATGAGCCTTTTGGAGGACATTTTAGATAACAAGCATAACAGCTGGGAAGTCCAAGATCAAGGTGCTAGGATGGAATAGCTTTGATGAGGAATGTCTTCTTGGTTTACAGATGGTAGCTATCTTTGAGCTGTGTCCTCCCTTTGCAGAAAGCAGAAAAAAAAGAAGAAATCTCTCCTGTCTCTTCTCATGAGAACAATAATCCCCTCCTGTTATAGAGGACCAAATTACTTCTGTAGCTTCAAACACCATCATATTGGGGATCATAGTTTTAACACAGGAATTTTTGGGGAAGAGAGGGTCACAGTCTGTAGCAGAGATGTGAAGGAATGACACTAAAAGAGTTGGCAAAAAAATTACTAATGATGAGGTGATATAGAAGACTACTAAATGTTGTGCACCACAATTACAGAACCACATGCAATTTGGAGGGTTACCAGAGCATGAAGGAGTTTGTAGGCCACATGACAGGGAGCTTGGATTTCATTTTACATATATGAGTAAGGCATCATTAAAGGGTTTTGTGTTACTTGAATTGCTGTGTGGTGGTGGAAATGGAGAGGCATAGACAGATTTGGGATGTATTTGTTATAGAAATAACCAATAAGCTTTTCTAATAGATTTGTACATGTATCAGAGGAACAGATGAAAGAGAAAGAAGACTCAAGGATGATCATTTGTTGGGCTGAGCAAGTTAGTGGATGATGGGTATTGATACTAAAATGTGGACACCTAGGAAGCATGGGAGTGAGACAGTAGAGATTTGGGAGGAGAATTCACAACTTTTGTTTTGGACATAAGTTTGAAATACCTACATAATATCTAAGAGAGTCATCTGGTGAATCACAAGAGTGATACAGTGTCCTAAGCTCAAGGAGAAGTTTAAGCTGCAAGTAGAAATTTGGGAGTCAATGGCTCCCAATTACATAGATGATATTAAAAGTAATGAAGATGGATGAAATGTCTTTGGATACAGGGTAGACAGAAATGAAAACAGAACCCAAAGAAGAGACCCTTTCTTGCTCTCAGATCTCACAGTGAAATGAATTTCTTCTGAAATCATCTACTGAAGATGGTCACATCTACCTTATTAAAAAAGATTTATGCTTCTGTACTGAAAATAGTCAGCAATTACTTCCCATTTCTCATTTTAAAAAACAAAAAACAAAAAAACCATGTTTTGCTTTACCTTATTTTGAGGTACTCTGTGATCGTGATTAGTGCTTGGGTTAAGGATTTACTGACCACATTATAAGTTCTCACATTTAAAAGGGTATGCAAAGTTTACATAATAATACAGATGTACAAAGTATATAATATAATATTTCAGAAAAAAACTAGTAATATAAAATTTAATGTTAAAATGCAGAGGGAGATGGCTCTTGATTCCTCTGTGAGGTACGTGGAGGAAGGAATGCTCTATACATGTGAAACTGTTCTGCTTCTTCAAAGAAGGAAAGGCCTAACCCAGAACACAACACTTTCTGGACTCAACTAGTCAAATGGTTTAACATTTCAAACCTCATTTTAGCTTTGTTATCCTTCCAAGAAGTCGCTATAAACTATTAACTTAATATTTCAACTGACTGATACGGAAACTAAAGAATATTGAGATTTAAGTAATATACCAAAAGTTGACAGAAAATAGCACAATTGGGCCTAATGCTATATCCATGCAAAACATTCGCATTTACTTGCTGTGTAGAAGAAACTGAAAAAGACACTTTCTTATATGATCACCTCACTATTTTAATGATCATTTAATCATTTTAACTAGGCACTCCTTTCTCTTTCTTTTCTTTTTTTTTTTCTTTTGTTCCAGGGATTGAACTCAGGACCTTGCGTTTACAAGGCAGGCACGGTGCCACTGAGCTAAATCCCTGGCTCCTAGGCACTCCTTTCTATCCATAGAGATAGACAAATTAAAATAGATGATTGTTATTATTTTCCTAAAGACAAATAGACTACGAAATGAATACAAATGGAAAACATATAAATCAAAATTATGTAGTATTGTAGTTTGATATGGTCATAATTCATGAAGGAAAAGATGTATATATATCCTCACACTACTTGTCCTTGAAATTTCCTTTCTTGAGTAGGGAGATAAAGACAGCATTAACTAAGGAAGCACATTTAGGCAAGGAACTGGTTTTAGGAACAAGGAAGAAAGAGGTCTTTAACAGTGGTTATCAGTGATTTATGGGCTTCTGTACTTTGTAGGAGGCTTTATTTTCAAAGCTTTATTCAAATGGTACCTCCATCATAAAAATGACATATCAATTATTTTTCAATGATTCTTCAGTCCTGTTTTAGCAATACATAGAAAGGCAAGCTTCTTGATGGCAGCTGGAAAGAGAAAGAAGCTCCTAAGCAAAAGGCAACTGGTTCTTCCACAAAACCACCAAAGTTCACTATAGATTCTTGAAATAATAAATAGATAAATACACGAGACTATGGGGATTGCTTCATGTATTCTCAACCAGTAAGTAAAACCTTCATTCCATTTCTTTTAGCAAAGGGTAAGACTTCCTCGGTGTTCTGTTCGACATAAGGAATGGAAAGGACAGATAAACAAGATGTCCTATTTGAGGGACGATATGATCTAGTTAAGAATCTAAGATATATATTCAGATAATTACTGTACAGTGTGATAAATACATGCCATAAATGCAAAAGTTCTAGAAGGAGCTCTGTCCCACTCATACCCCCATATCATCCACCATATCAACATTCTGTCCCTCCCTCCACTCCAGCAACATTTCAGGCCTCAGGATCTTTGCACCTCCTAATCCCTCTGTTTGATAGTGTATTCACTCAGGAATACACCAGCCTTACTTCCTCGCTCCATTCAGGCCTTTATTCTTATATAATTTTACTAGAATGGCTTTCTCTGATCAGTTGATATAAAATTGCACCCCCATGCTTTTCATCACTTTGTTCTTGGCCCCCTTACAGCTTCTTTCTTCATAATCTTTATCAACATGATATATTCCCTATTTATATGCTTGTGGTTTGACTCCCGCATTAGACTGAAAGCTTCTCAAAAGGAAAGACTTTTTTTTTTTTTTTTTGATACAGGGGATCGAACTTGGGTCCTTGTGCTTGCGCAGCAGGCGCTGAAACCACTGAGCTAAATCCCCGGTCCTAGGAAAGATGTTTTTAAAAAACTCATTGTTGACTCTATGCAACCTTGAAGAGTTCTTGACACTTGACAGAATCTTCATAAATATTTAATGAATTAATGAATAAATAGGAAAAGATGAAGTGGGATTCAGGAAAGATTTTATAAAGGTGACTATACTTCAATAGGATTTAGAAGAACGTAAGGGATTATTCTTAACAGACAAAAGAAGCTGGGAATGGTAGGAAAAGGTGTGCTCAAAAGTAAGGAGAATTAATATATGGCTTAAATCACTCAAGATAGTGTGGTTTGGTAGGGTGTAAACACTTTGTGCTTCAGTTATAGCACATCTACATTTTCCTTGCAGGAGAGTTGTTTACTACCCTTCTGTCTTTCTCAATAAATTAATTCCTCTTTAAAGACTATGCTTATCTCCATATTTTCCAAATTCTTAAAACAGGGCAGATATTCAATATTAAACAGACAGAACAACAATATTTATTCATTAGAGCACAAAAAAATCTATTCATTTATTTGTATAACTAAAATGGATTCCCTTTTTCTGTTGAAAACTGAGTACCGTTTGAAAACTTTAAAATGAAAAGGGATGTAAGAGTTACCTAACTCAACTCTCCCGTTTTGTAGTTGAGTAAACTGAAGCATTGATCACCCACAATCACACATCTAGCTAGTTACAATTGAAAATCTGAAACTCCATTTGTCATCTTTTCCTCGGAAGATGTGGTCTGAAAATGTGAGATTATCTATTAAAAACTATCCATATTATGATACAATTGGAAGAAACACTTGAACAAATCTGTAAGTCACAAGGAACATTAAACATAGGGTTTTTTTGTGTTTGACAAAAGTGAAAAGTTGAAAGCAACCTACATGTATGTCAATAGGGAAATAGCTACATTTACTTTATAACAGGAGTGCTATGGAATTTTTGAAGCACTAATAAAGAACAAAGTTTGATATACTAAAATCGAAAATATCTCCGCTGGTGATTGATTTAATTTAAAAGACAAGAAATGGCAAGCTTCAAGATTATACAAGGACTATACCCGTCAAGAGTCCTAGACTTCGGGTTCTCCTATCGAAATATGACAAGTGCAGGAAACAGAAAATTTCGGAACGATGAACTCTAAGCAGAGAAGAGGTAATGGATGAAGCAGTCTTTAACCTGGACTCTATTCGTTTTCAATACAAGGGCAAGTCATATTCTACTTTTGCTTTTGTTGGCTTTTTAAATTTTTTCAGAAACTGAGCACAGATTATTTTTTCTCTAACAGGTAATGATTCTGTATCATTATATATATCATTATATATACACGTGAAGAATGAAACAAGGCCTTTAGGGAGATTTGAGAATACTATAAATAAGATGTCCAACAGGAGGAGCATCAAGGACAGAAGGGAACAATGGTGTAGCAAACGCGATAAGGCTTTTAGAGCGAAGACTGGGGGAAGGGAGCAGACATCTTGTGGTAGCGAGAAAACCAAACTGAAAGGCAAGGGGGCCGCATAGGGGCGGGGCCAACTGCGTTGCGCATGCGCAACCACCCCAGGTGGCCGCCGTCGCGGAAAGGAAGCCACCTAGGGACGCTGCGCCCTGCTGCTCGATTGCTGCTGCGCGTGCGCAGGCAGTCCGGTTTTGGAGTCTTCATCTTTGCCGCCTTCACCGCTGCCTTCCTTGGATTTGAGTCTCGCGCTTTCTTCATTCGCTCAGTGCTGGGCTCGAGCCCCCGGGCCAGTGAGCCCGGGGAAGAGGTTGGAAAGGGCCGTTGACCTCCGTCTTTAAACTGTGCGCGGGGCAGCCATGTCGGCCGGCGAGGTCGAGCGCCTGGTGTCGGAGCTGAGCGGCGGGACCGGAGGGGATGAGGAGGAAGAGTGGCTATATGGCGGTACGGAACTTCCTGTCCCTGTTTCTCCCGGGTTCTCTCAGGCCTCCCCTCCCGGCTCGCAGGCGGCCTGTGTCCCTGATCCTTTGCGCGCGGGCCTCTGGTGGGCCCATGCCGGGCCTGACCTAGGCCTGGCGCGGCGTGCGCGTCCCCGCCGCGGCCCCGTCCCCAGCCCACGCCCCCGGGGAGGCGGGCGCCCGGCTGGGTCCTGAGGCCCAGGCCTCGCGGCAGTCTACCCTCCACACTCTTCTTGTCTGCCTTTTCTATCCCTTCTGAACTGTTTGCTGTGTCTCTTACTGCCCTGAGGCCATACGGTACTTTTCCTGTCCGCTTTTTTCAGAAACAATCATTCTGTAATAAATGCAGTGAATGCCGTAAAATTAATGTCTTGTTTCTTGATGATCAGTTTGTATGGAATGCATCTGCAGGGTTACCTCCTTGTTTGAAAGTCGTGCTTTAAAAGTAATTGAGACAGAAAGAGATGGAATACGTTATGGCCCATAAAGAAAACCCTGAATGTCTCCTCTATGAAGGTGAAGTTTTTCTTTTTTGAGAGACTGCTCTTAAACACACATAGAAGTACCTTATGACTCCTAGGCTTATAGTTTTCAGGGTCTTCTCTTACATTTATTTTTCTCTGATGCATCTTGTACTTTCCTCTTGAAGGGGACTTGACATCAGGACTTTAACTTTCATTAAATCATAATCCCTCTTGTTGCGCCAGATTTGAAAGTATTTTGTTTCTTGCTAAAACTTAAATTCTTGATTGATTTAGAGTGGTATAGTAAAAGTGCACGTTGGCCATCGTGCAGCTCCTCAGTTATGTAAATTTGATAAGCTTGTAAAAAAATTCTTTATCTTAGGTTCATTAGTAATACTATGAAATGTGAATGTGTGAGATTTCTTTTACAAAGATCTGGACATCTTCAGTACCTCGTAGGTTTATTTTTATAGCAGTAAAGTCTGATTTCTTTTTTCCATAAAAGTCGTGTCTTGTTAAGTAATTACAAGGTGATCTAACTTTGGATATGCTTATAGGCCCATGGGACGTGCATGTGCACAGTGATTTGGCAAAGGACCTAGGTTAGTGCTTGTGATGATCACTTCAGATTTTCATAATACTGCTTTCTTTAAAAACTTGGTTTATTTATTTACCTTATTTTGTCTATTTTATTTGGTAGATGAAAATGAAGTTGAAAGGCCAGAAGAAGAAAACACCAGGTTAGTGAAATTTCTTTTTTTATTTCAGGTTTAGCTTAGTGAAATTTCTGTTGATGACCTGCACAAATCGTGTGATGCTGTGGTTCTGTTAATAAATTGTTAAAATTATTTCATAATCATTGGCTTGGTCATAACATTATTATTATTTTTTTTTTGGTACCGGGGATCGAACTTGGGACCTTGTGCTTTCGAGGCAGGCACAGTGCCACTGAGCTAAATCCCTGGCCCTGGTCATAACATTTTGAGTAAAGGTTGGAGGACGTTATATCCTTTAAATGTATTTCTATTTTAGGACCTAATTTTACATCAGTTCTGTCTTGCTAGTATCTTAGACAGCTTTTGAGGTTAGTGTTTGACTGCTTTTCATTACTGAGTAACTTTACTCTTTGAGCCTCAGTAGTGGAGCGTACAATATAATTATTAGATGACTGAGAAAAGTATATTAAAAATGAAAGAACCCTGAAAATACCTGCTTTTTAAAAAGAATTTATTAATAGTTTTGATGGTATAATATACTTTGGTTTTACTTTCAGTGCTTTATATTTACTTAATTCAAAGTAGAAGTAATTTTTATAAGATTTCCTTTATTTAGTGGAAAGGTACAGGTTTCATTTACAGAATATATACATGGTTCCAGAAATTTGCTGTAAATTTCGAAACAACTCATGAATAGAAGTATATGGCTATGCTGACTTACTTACTCTGACCAGATGGCATAGTGTGTAAAATAATGAATGGAGGAGTAAAGAGCATTTAAGGAATATTTGGATTTAAAAAGTGAGGGAGATACCACTTCATGCCTAGTAGGATGGCTGTAATCAAAAAGATAAAAAATGTTGGTGGAGATATGGAGAAATTGAAACCCTTCATGTGGTGCTGGTAAGATTATAAAATGGTGCAGCTGATTTGGACAATTGTCTGGCGGTTTTCTCAAATAATGAAATTTCTCAAATAATGAATTACCATATGACCCAACAATTTTACCTGTAGGTGTGTACCTTAGAAAAATGAAAATAGACATCCATATGTATGCACATGAATTTTCATAGCAGCATTATTCATAATAGTTAAAAAATGGAAACCATCCAAGTGTTCATTAACTGATAAATGAATAGATTAAATGTGATATACCTGTATAATGGAATACTGTTGTGAAAAGAAATGAAGTACTGATAATTGTTACAACATGGATGAACTTTGGAAACATTGTATTAAGCAATCAGTGAGAGTCACGAAGGACAACATATTATGTGACTTCACTTATGTGAAATGTCCAGAATAAGCAAATCCACAGAGGCAAGAAGATTAGTGTTTGGGGCAGGGGAAAAATTGGAGTGACTGGTGATATAATACAAGATTTCTTTTGTGATCCATGTGCATGGTTTGGAATTAGATAGTCATGGTGGTTTTATTGTGTCAACATCCTAAAACTTATTGTTTTACCCTTTAAATGGATGGATGAAAATTATATCTCAGTAAAGCTGTTATGACAAAAAAATGGCAAGAGTGATGAAGTGAAAAGAGGAAGTAGCATTAGTTTAGGAAGAGGAAGAGCTAAAATTACAGAATTCTTCCTCACTCATATACTCCCTATATTTTCTTCATTTATTCCTATATTATCTGAAATTTAGTTTTGAGATTTATGTATTTGACTCAGTGCCTAGTCCTAATATCATCCACAAATTTAAGATTTGTGTAGTACATAGTTATGAAAATGATTACATGTCTCATCATACCCATTTCTTCAATTGGTCAAGAAACTAGCTGATTACAAGGTATAGAGTTAAAATCAAATGTATATTTTTATGAGTCTTTATGCCATTGATTTTTATTAGTTCTTACCTATAATTCTTGAGGTTTGCTTTCTTAGTGAACTTTCTTTAATTCTCCAGTACACAGCATAGTAAAATGTACTGTAGAGAAGTCATCTTTTACCTTCCTGAGTGTTATTGTCAAAACTTCTGTATATTTCTTATTAAAACTTAGCCATTAGGTTTATTCCATGAGAAAAAAAAATCTTTTAGTATGTGTGCTGCCGAAGCGAGCATGAGAAAAAGAATCTTTAAAATATTATTTTTCTAGAAAAGCTTTATAATTTTATCAAATTTCTAACATATTAATGGTAATGGAGAATTAAAACTTCTGAAAGAGTTAGTCTCTGAGGAAAAGAAATTTTGTCAAACCTGTTATCTAGTTTGGCATTATCATTGCTAATGGAATTTGCCCCAGCTTCTTTTTCTCTGGTTTGTTGCTCAGCGCTCTGTCCATTGCCTTATACTGTCTCCAATTCTGTCATGTTTTGTCTATTTAAATTTTGGTAAACGTAGTATGCTATTTTGTGACATAAAAAGCAAATGAGAGTTCAGTCTCCAGCACATATGTATGTGTGCGTGTGCGCGTGGATACACAAACATACATCTGCATGTGCATATGCATGCATGCACGTAAACCAAACCAAAAAGTAAGTAGAACTTGTATCTGGTTATCTAGAAGTTTAAGTAGGAAGCAGATGTGCTGGAAGGTTGTAGTTAGATATTTATCTCCTTGAGTTAAGCCTTAGAACAAGGAAAATCTAACAGTTAAAAGTTTTAGTTTCTAGGGCTGGGCATTTGGCTCAGTGGTTTCGCTCCCTGCTATGCAAGCGCAAGGACCCGTGTTCGATCCACGGTACCAAAAAAAAAAAAAAAGTCGCTCAAAGTTTTAGTTTCTATCTTTTGTAAGGGATGGTGTTCCAAAATGCTACTGTGGAGATTAAATTTGTTTAATTCATTAAATTGAGAAAAAGTGAATTTTAGAAGAGATTAGGAGAAATCTAATGAAGAGTTCTGACCTATGGCAGTAGCTGGACATTTTTGTTAGAAGTACTTCTAAGTTTTTCTGAGACATGGGCCAATCCAGTTTTTTTGCTGGATACATCAATTTTCCTTTTTGTAAAATGAAGTGTTGACTAATTCCTCCTGACAAAATTAAAATTATTTAAAAATATAAGAATCTAATTATGGTTCTATAAGTGTTGTTGGTTAACTTTGAGCTTGAATCCTATGGCAATGTATTTTACTGTTATACTGTAAGTAATTTTTTGTTGTGAAAGGATAAGTTTACTAGAGTTAATTGTTTTAAAATTCATCAAAATTTAAAAACTGAAATTCAGCAAAATGATGCCCCTAGTTCCTTAGTAGTATCAAATTCAGGGACCATCTTGCATGAAGATACATTTTTTTATCTTAAAATTTTATTTTAATAAGATTGATGAAATAAGAAACCAGGGAAAAGTATGTATGTTAATTGAATACTAAAAGAGCTAATGTGATCATATCACAGATCTGAGTTTTGAAATTCAAAGGAAAGAGGAACCTTGGCAGGTTACATAGGCCTTGGCAGGTGCAGTAGAACCTGGCACACAGTAGACGTTTAGTAAAGATTTAGGATTAAAATTAGGTGAGTTGGATACTTTTAAATTTATAATTTAATAGTATTGAGAATTATATCCCACTGTCAGATTGCAAGTCATTCACAAATTATAGTGGTATTTCCTTTCTGCTTCTAATGTGGTTTTTTTGTTTTGTTTTGGTTTTTTTTGTACCAGGGATCAAACTCAGGTCCTTGCGCTTGCGCAGCAGGCAACAAAACCACTGAGCTAAATCCCCGGCCCTCTGATGCGCTTTTTATTTTCTTTATTGTCCTGGGGAGGAACCAGGGCCTCACATGTGCTAGTCCAGTGCTCTGCACTCTAATTCTTACTTCTAATGTTAAGTACTTATTTTATTCAAGATATTAGCAATAACAGGAAAAAAGGCACATTTTCCCATCCTTGTTATTACCATCCAGTGGAGACAATATCTTTAGAAAACCTTAACAGACATAGCTTAAAAATAGTAGTATAATCTATGTGTACTTTCAAAAGCAGTGCCTGACATAGGTACTTTTTGTTGTTTGTAGTGCTAATCCTCCATCTGGAATTGAAGATGAAACTGCTGAAAATGGCGTACCAAAACCGGTAACATTAACATAGAACTTTGAAATCCAGTTACTTTCCTATTTAAATCCTTTACCAGTAACTTTGTAGTTTGCTTAAAAATAGAACCAACATTTACCATGGCCTCCAGCATTCTGTGTGATCTGGCCTCTTACATCTCCTGCTTCACTTGGAACTATCAAAAACATTATAGGACTTAGGAGAACAAATAGTGGGAAGAGTCTGCAGAAGAAATGTAATGTCCAAAGTCCTGATGTGCTAAGAACTGAGTAGTCAAAGATGTACTGAATAGATAGATCATAGTGAGCTTGATTTTCAAAGCAAACATTGAATCCTGAAACTTAAGTTTGAAGTTATGGTTTTTTAGCAATTATTTTTTTATATGTGAATAGTCCCTAACTTCGTGCTCATTAAATTGGATATTTGGGGGGCTGGAGATTTACCTCAGTGGTGCCTGCACCTGCCTGGCAAGCACAAGATGCTGAGTTTGATCCCCAGTACAAAAAAAAAAAAGGTATCTAAGAACCAAGATACATCATGGAAAGGTACAGCTTCCCAATGATGAATGTAACTGTATTGGGTACCTAAATATACCAATAAACTTAACGGGAAAAAAAATTGAATATTTTGAGTAGCCTATGAATATTTGTACATGTTAATCTTGTAGAAAGAAGGAAATTTATTTTGCAAACATAAACTTCTATATAAAAGTATTTTGCATAGGTAATATTCTTTTTTTTTTGGTACCGGAGATCGAAATCGGGACCTTGTACTTGTGAGAAGGGCTGGTAATATTCTTATTTACTATATATAACTAAGTTTATACAGTACTAGCCTTTTAGAGCAATAACAAAATTCATAAATGGTCCCACTTTAAAGATGCAAGTTATTCCCTCAGTGATTTTCATGAAGAGCCTCTTCTAGATGTAAATGAATGCTAAGAGTAAGCAAACTGCTCCATTACTGTTTGGTACTGTTTGGTAAGATTCACAGTATCAAGGTTATAAAGACCTTGATACTGTGAATCTTACAGTTGTCCTCTTATTTATGTACTTTGCCAATAATTTCTCAAGTACTTATTTTTTTATGACTTTACCTGGTGGATATCTTACTACATTGCTTTAGATCCTTTTTGCAAGAGGGGCAGTTATAAATAGTAAAAAAAAAAAAGTTATGTAGAACATTAAAGTTGAAATACTGTAGGTAGCAACTTTATGTGTAATTTTTTTCTGTAAAACTCTCAAAACAAAAATAGAGGATGGCTACTTTTTTAGTGATTAAGTATTGAAATGGATTATTGAATGTATTTTATAACTGTTTGTTTATGTTGGTGTAGAAAGTGACTGAGACTGAAGATGATAGTGATAGTGACAGTGACGATGATGAGGATGATGTCCATGTGACTATAGGAGACATTAAAACAGGAGCACCACAGTATGGGTAAGTTATTTTTAATTAACAAGTCTTTGAAAACTACATAGTAAACATATTGTGTCTATATCAGATTGTCAGTCCATTGTGTTTAAACTTTCTACCTCAATGTGATATAAAAGACTTATTAAAATTTCACAACAAAAATAATTCTTTCCTAAACAAACTGTTAGTTAATAAAGAAGGTAAATGGAAGCAGCAGTTTTTGATTCTTGTGATTTAAAATATTTTTTAAAAAATTCTGTGGTTAGAATTGGAAAAGCTTAAATTGTAATTTCATCTGTGTTTATCACTCTTTCACATTATTACTTATTCAAACCTTAGTTTAGGTTCCTAATTTTTTTCTTAGCCAGTAAAATAGTATAAAATGTATTACTTTGGCCTTCATAATTTATTTTTCAAGTTGTTAATTATTCATTAGGCGTTTTAGGCCAATGTACTAGTCTCAGGTTCCACAAACTAGACCAAGTAAGCAGATTGTCATTGTCTCACTGAGTGCATAAGGAATCATAAAAATGAACTGTGTTAAAGTATTTATACATTGTGATTTTGTTAGGGTAGTATAAATTGAGTCAGTGTTGTTTTGTTTTTAAAATCGGCTCTATGGCTAGGCATGATGGTGTACACATGTAATCGTAGCACTCGGGAAGGCAAGGCAGGAGAATTGCTGCAAGTTTTTAGGCCAGCCTTGACTTACATAGTGAGTTCAAAGCCAGCTTGGACTAATAAAAAAAACAATCAAATTGGCTTTATGATGTGGTTACTAAAATTTGTACCATGGATACATAGAAAATCATAAAATAGCTTCAGTAATTTCATTAAGCAGCCTTACCTGGAACCAGTCAGTATACTGTATATGTAAATACTTTTGAATATTTTATTTCTTCAGTAAAGCTACTTTTTTCAAAAGTCCTTTTTCAGAAAGATTAAAGGTATTCAGTTACTGTTATAGTAAACTTTGGATTATAATGATTATATAATTTTGGGGGGTTTTTTTTGGTACTGGGGATCGAACTTGGGACCTTGCGCTTCCAAGGCAGGCATGGTGCCACTGAGCTAAATCCCCAGGCCTATATAGTTTTTTTAAGCAACTTTTTAGAGGGTAAAGAGATTTAGTTACTCATTAAGGGGTAAAGTCTTAATATGTTTTTCATCCCCACTTGGGAAAGTAAGTAATTAGTATTGAGTTTTATAATACTCACAGGTCTTTTTACTAGTAGGCCTTTATCGTTTGCATTATGATGATCATTGCATATTTAGTAGATTTTGTTTTATCAAGTTATTTGTATTTGCAAGTATAGGACTATTTAAAGCAAAGTAGTTTTTCTTATATATCCCTTGAAAACCGAAAGAAAGACAGGGAGAAAATATAATTTGGTAAAATATTTGTGCATAGTATTTTTTTGTTGTTATTGTTGTTGAAAAATTATGTATTCATTTATTTTGCACATTGCTCTAAAGAAAATTTGGAACTCCTGAAGTTTACAGATATTTTCTACAAATTATCAAATGAATTGTCTTGCTCCAATAACATTAAAGTTGTTCTCTCTCTCTTTTTTTTTTCCCCATTAACTTTATTGGTACATTTTAGGTATACAGTACAGTTACATTCATCATTGGGATCTTGTACCATTACATGAGT